AAGAATGGACCTTTTTTTCTCACAATATTATGGCTTAAAAGTGTTTGAACTGGTTTGTGCTAATTTAATAGAAAATGTGTTAAAGAATACACATCACTAAAGCATGATATTAAGTGACATAATAATGACCTTAATGTAGATCTTTTAAGTTGTCATCTTACCTTATATTGTGCTTGCATGTTACATGTTCCAAAATGTAACTACCACAAAATAAAGCTTACCATCATACTTCAAAGTAACAACAGTTGAGGTATTCTCCATATTCTTGCTGAAGGTGCAGGTGACGTCAACAGGATTTTGTGTGGTGTTAAGAAATACTAAAAGAAATGTAGAGTTGTTGTCTGGATTAATCGTGGGGTAGTTAGTCACACTTGGAGGTTTAACCTGCCAGGAGAGGCCAACATCTTTATCTGGTGAAGAACAATGCATCACCATCCAACAGTCTTCTCCTGCAGATCCAGCTGGGGAGGTCTTTATGTTTGGTTTCTGGAGGTGTTCTGTGAAGGTTGAAATTGGTGTTGTTGATTAGACATGAGGATGTGTTCTGACTTCTTAGCACTGTCTGACTCGAAAAACTCGGTAGGTCAGGGGGTGGTTACATGGTGACTCAGGAAAAAGCATTAGGTCAAAGCTACTAACTGTGACAATATACTGTATTTCTCCCCCAGTATATTTAACAGCCTGACAAAATCTAAGTGTGTGTCAGTCTTCACACTTACGTTTTACAGTGACCTTAATCTTGTTTTCATTATTCTTTCCTGCAGCATTGGTAAGGTCTACAGTGTATTCCATGGCATCCTTTGTGGTCAAATTACGGATTGTCAAGTCACCTAATGAATGAAAAACACTGAACAATCACTGTAAAGACAGAAATAAAATTCCTTTGCCCTGACAGCCAGGTGACAGATTTTCCCTTACCTGACTTGATGTTTAGACTGAGCCTCCCTTTATACTGACTGATGCGGTCAGTGTTTTCCTCCTTATTGTCATAGGTGGCAATCCAAGTGTTGTTGGGAAATATTGACCAATAAATATCTGAGAGAGTCCATGATGGCTCAGCTCCTGAGGGCAGGGTGATGGTTTCCCCAATGTACCCAGAGACTTCTTTGGGGGGATCAGCTAGTGCTACTGTGAAAGCAGTTTTAAAAAAATTCAGCACCACCACACCCAGACTTTAAGGTTTTATACAAGCAAAACTAACATGGAAAGCAGCAGTTTCTTTGGTCACATTTTAAAGAAAGGTGGCAAAGATGACCACTGTAAGCACAACCTGAAGTTTCAGTGCATTTGAATTTCTTTACATGATTGTAACAGCTTACTTTGGGTATTTTGTAGAATATATAAGAGATAATTTGTCTAAATAAGGTCATCTTTTACTTCCAGACCAGAGATTCACTGAGAAACACATTGTTCTGGATGTGCTTCAAGAAACAAGGTCAGTAAAATGCAAACAGACCTGGCAGCAGACAAAATGGCAGGATGTTATTGATATTACCTGGAAACTTAATCTTGACAGGTTAAGGGTCGTGGCTAATCCTAACCCCTATCCCAACTTCTGGAAAAAGTTGACAATTTCTGGTGTTGACAGTGTGCAATCTCACAGTCTGCCATTTTTGTCTGCCGCCAGTTCCCTTGTAAAATGTGCAAGAATAAACGTATATTTTTTGGTATTAGATTTGTCAGCAGAGAAAACAAGACCAAGTCCAGTTCGTGGCTCTGTCAGGCTGTACTTACTATACTAAAACCTCTCATTTAGACATTTTTCAGGATAATGACATGTAAATAACACCCAGTATGTATTCTTCCACCGTCATTAAGTATCACTAGAGTGTGTAGATGCACTACACAGTCTAGTCATAGCCAGTTAACCTTTTAGATGATGAACATACACCATATATAACACTGAGGAATGACGTACATGAGTTTAATTAGATTTTCACACCATTTCCTTGATGCTAAGTACTTCCTGCATGTACTCGTTTTATGGGTCACTGCCCAAAATATACTAGACTGGCCTCTTTTCTAACATTAAACATTTAAGTAAAGACCATAAAGAATAGCTGGTGATACTAAGTGACAGCATAAAAATGACTGGAAACATATTGAGGCTTTTGTTAGTTCTGTTGCCAGTTTTATGCTCCTGGTATGTCTGACTCAGGTAGTTACGCTGTTCAAATTGTAATTTTAAAATATTCTTGAAATCTGGGCACATTAGTTGCTGGCTAATGATATTTTCAGAAAATGAAAATAGAACCTACCTTGGAGGAATGCAATAAGCAGGAGTCTCATCGTAACAGCGAAATAACACAGAGGAAGTGGGTTTTAGATGTTTCCTTCTTTATTCCTTCCTTACTGTGACGTCAACTACGTGTTTTAACAGCAACGAACCTTAATCATTCAAGCTGCTCTTGAATAATCAGTGATCAAAATTTCACTCACATTTTAACAAATATACAGTCAGGGAAAAAATTATTTGAACCCCAGCTGATTTTGTAAGTTTGCCCACTAACAAAGAAATGATCAGTCTACAATTTCAATGGTAGGTTTATGTGAACAGTGAGAGACACAACAATAACAAAAATGCATTACAAAAAAGTTATACATTAATTTACATTTTCATGAATGAAATAAGTATTTGATCCCCTATCAGTCAGCAAGATCTCTGGCTCCCAGGTGTATTTTATACAGGTAACGAGCTGACATTGGGAGCCCTCTCAGCTCGTTATCTGTATAAAAAAAGACCTGTCCACAGAAGCAATCAATCAGTCCAGATTCCAAACTCTTCACCATGGCCAAGACCAAAGAGCTTTCCAAGGATGTCAGGGACAAGATTGTGGACCTACACAAGGCTGGAATGGGCTACAAGACCATCGCCAAGGAGCTGGGTGAGAAGGTGACAACAGTTGGTGCGATTATTCGCAAATGGAAGAAACAAAAATTAACTGCCAATCTCCCTCGGTCTGGAGCTCCATGCAAGATCTCACCTCATAGATTTTCAATGATAATGAGAACGGTGAGGAATCAGCCCAGAACTACTTTGGGAGGAACTTGTCAATGATCTCAAAGCAGCTGGGACCATAGTCACCAAAAAAACAATTGGTAACACATTACGCCGTGAAGGACTGAAATCCTACTGTGCCCGCAAGCTCCTCCAGCTCACGAAAGCACATCTACAGGCCCATTCGAAGTTTGCCACTGAACATCTGGCTAATTGAGAGGTAGACTGGGTGAAAGTGTTGTGGTCAGATGAGACCAAAATCGAGCTCTTTGGCATCAACTCAACTCGCCTTGTTTGGAGGAGGAGGAATGCTGCCTATGACTCCAAAAACACCGTCCCCACCGTCAAATATGGAGGTGGAAACATTATGCTTTGGGGGTGTTTTTCTGCCAAGGGGACAGGACAATTGCACCGGATCAAAGGGAGGATGGACCAACTGTTGTCACCTTCTCACCCAGCTGCTTGGCGATGGTCTTGTAGCCCATTCCAGCCTTGTGTAGGTCCACAATCTTGTCCCTGACATCCTTGGAAAGCTCTTTGGTCTTGGCCACGGTGAAGAGTTTGGAATCTGGATTGATTGATTGCTTCTGTCGACAGGTCTCTTTTATACAGGTAACAAGCTAAGAGGGCTCCCAATGTCAGCTCATTACCTGTATAAAATACACCTGGGAGCCAGAGATCCTGCTGACTGATAGGGGATCAAATACTTATTTCATTCATGAAAATGCAAATTAATGTATAACTTTTTTTTGTAATGATTTTTCTGGATTTTTTTTGTTATTGTTGTGTGTCTCTCACTGTTCACATAAACCTACCATTGAAATTGTAGACTGATCATTTCTTTGTTAGTGGGCAAGCTTACAAAATCAGCTGGGGTTCAAATAATTTTTTCCCTGACTGTAATTTAGTTTTTCATTCTATCTCATTCATTGACTCCTACAAATGAAAAATGTTTTTTTACAGAAATTCTCCATAGATCTGTTTAACTTCAGTGCAACTGAACAGACTAATAGTTTCTTTTTTATTCTGTAGTATCCATACTTTGTAATATCTGAGGGAATTTTTTCATTAGTTTGGTGAATTCCACTTTGTACATGATGTTGTATAGTACACATTTATCAAACTGAATTTTTTATGCTACCTTGACACTCCCACACTTTAGTCATCCTTCCTCTTTTATAAAACCATAAGAATGTGACTTACATGTCACTGATAACGTTTTAACTCGGTATTTCATGACTCCTGACATTTAATCCTATAAACAGTCCCTGTCTTAGGATGAGAGCAGTGTTTAGCGCTGTTGCCTCACAGCAAGAAGGCTCAGAGCTCAAGCATTGTGTAAAGTTTGCATGTTCTCCCTGTGCCTGTGTGGGTCCTCTCCAGTTACTTTGTCTTCCTCCCACAGTCCAAAGACATGCAGCTTAGGTTGATTGGCAACTCTAAATTGTCCACAGGAGTGAATGTGAAAGTGTGTGGTTGTTTGACAGACTGGCAACCTGTCCAGGGTGGACCCCGCTTCTCACCCGATGTCAGATGGTACAGGCTCCAGGTCCCAACCATATTCAGGAAAAAGCGGTAGTTGTTTAACTTGGGTCAAATGTTTTGGGCAGCTGTGGCTCAATGTGGTCGTCTTCCCCAACTGGAAGGTCGACAATTCGATTCCCATTCTCCCCAGTCCACATGTCGAAGTGTACTTGGGCAAGACACTGATCCCCAAGTTCTGGTGGCCAGAGCTGTACCTTGTAGGGACAGCACCGCCATTGGTGCGTGTGTGAGGCGGCGCCACAGATGTCTGTCTCTGTTCTGTACCAGAGACAAATTCCTTGTGTCTGTAACGTATGTGGCCAATGAAAGTGATTATTGTCACTAGCTAGCTGGAGTTTTGGCCCGTTCCTCCTGACAGAACTGATGAAAATGAGTCAGGTCTGTAGGCCTCCTTGCTCCCACATGCTTTTTCAGTTCAACAACAGTTCAACTTTTGTTTCATCAGACCAGGGGACATTGCTCCAAAAAGTAATATCTTTGTCCCCATGTGTAGCTGCAAA